GTCCCCGCGGCCGCTCTCCCCCCAGGGGCGGAACCGCCTCCGGCCTCCGCTCGGCGTGCGGAGGTTCCCTGAGGCCGGCGGGGCCGCCGCGCGCCCGCAAGAGCGCGGCGCTGCCCGGGACCCCGCCGGCCTGCAGCGGCCTGGACGCCACGCCTCCGCCCCGCCCGCTGGGCCGCGCCTCCAGGGCCCGGCCGGGCCCTGACACACCCCCTGCCCCCGCGCCGCCGGTCCTCTCCCGGCCCCGCAGCCTCGCCGTGTCCGACACGGCGCGAGCAGAGAGGCGCCCCCGGGCACCACATCGCGGGGAGACACCTTGTTCGGAGCGGAGGCCGAGTCTGGGGACCTCGGGGCGTCCAGTCCCCGTTCCACGGGCCGAGGGCGGGTGTGAACGGCGAGCCTGAGCGCCCGCCCCGCTGGCCCTGCCCTTCCCCCCGGCCCGCTGAGCGGTTTGCCCCCGAGCAGACGCGAGCTGACCCCCGGGCCGCGGCGCGGACGCACGGATGGACGCCCCGCCGGAGCTGGAGGGCCGCCTGGTCATGCAGGCGGAGAAGGAGCCCGCGTGGGCGTCGGGGCCCGGCCTGGAGGAGCCCGGGCGCGCGGAGCCCGAGACCTTCCGCAGGTGCTTCCGGCAGCTCTGCTACCAGGACGTGAGCGGACCCCGCGAAGCGTTCAGCAAACTGTGGGAGCTCTGCTGCCGGTGGCTGCGGCCGGAAGTGCGGTCCAAGCAGCAGATCCTCGAGCTGCTCGTCATCGAGCAGTTTCTCACCATTTTGCCCGAGAAGATGCGGGCGTGGGCACAGACGCGGCGTCCGGGAAGCGGGGAGGAGGCGGTGGCCCTGGTGACACATTTGGAGAAGGAGGCGGGACGGCTGAGGCAGCAGGTGAGAGCGCGCGTGGCAGGTAAACGTCTGCGTTTAGGAAGAAAGGGGGCGACAAGGCCGGTGGGCAGGGGCGCTGGCGAGAGGCCTTTGAAGTGAATGCACTTAGAGGGGGATCAGAACTTCACATTAAATAGGGGGAAAAGCTTTGGTTGACATTATCTAAGCAGTGTGCCTCTAAGTGTGTGTTTCAAACCATTGGCACAATGTTTCCCCCCGAAATTACACGCGACCACAATCCGCTCTGTGTCACAGGGTTTGACTTTTGCAGCCTGACCCTAAAGAGGGCTCTGGCGAGGTCGGGAGTGGGGGGGCCGGGGGCCTTGGCCCCCCCAGTCCTCCCGGGGCCTCGCTAATCCTCCTAGATTCTGGTCCTTGTCTTCTGACACCCCCCCCCCTCGCATCGCCATCCTTGTCACTGTCTCCGGCTTAACCGCCAGGTCATCTGTCGCTGGTTTTGCGTGTTCTTCTAATTGTGTTCCAACAGCCCTTGCATTAACCTCACGAAATCCTGCAGGCTTTGCAAGCTCTGCCGTTTCACCTTGCACAGGATCCGCGATTGTATGACGATGCGACTGTCGGCACGTTGCGTGTTGGTCAAGGACAGACACGCGCCGCAGAGATTCATTTTATGGTTTCAGTGACTGTATTTCACTAGTGAATGTATTTGGGTTCTGGTAACTGTGACTTCTCGGTGAACCGAACAAGTGTGAGGACTCAGTATCTGTTCTGACGACAAGAAGGCTTTGTATTTCGCACCTGACAGCTCCCCGCACCCCTCACTCCTCACCAGGTGTTAATACAGAGCGTTCCCTGTGCCCTTGTGTCCAGACCTGTGGACGGCACTGGCCCTCGGATGCCCTTAGCGATGCCATTGGGAATGGACTGGAATCCTCATTGCTTCTCACATCTCTGTCCTCCTGTGAGAGCTTTCTTGGGGGCGTTTGGCCCTCATCTGTCCCTCCTTCCCCGCCTTTCTCATGACGGCTTCGGCTTTGTTTCCCAGGTGGGCAGTCCTGGGCACTCAGAGAAGCGAGCCCCACCTGCAGCGGCATGGGATGCGGTGGACTTTCAGCCACAGAGCCAGCCCAAAGTGCTGTCCCGGGAAGGAGCTGGCAGCCTCCACGCAGGACACCGGCAGCCGCTGAGCCAAAAGAGGGAGCACCAGCCCTCAGCCAAGGATGGTAAGGACTGAGGGCCTGCCCGGTGCGGAGGCCGCGGAGATTTAGTCTGTGGCCCAAACACCGTGGCTTGCTCAGAGTAAGGCGCCCTCGAGGCATATTCGCGAGTAAATTGAATATTTGAGAGAAAGACTTTGTTAGTTTCAAGAGTTGGGACTCTGTGCAGCATAAGTAAAAGGGATGTTAAAGGTGGAACCTAGGAAAACTTAGATTCCCCGGGCTGGCCTTGAGGTCTCCTAGTGAACGGAGGAAGCGCCATTCCACTGCTGTACACCTGGAACGAATATAAAATAATACTGAATGTCACTGTAATTGAGAAATAAAAATTAATTTTAAAAGAGAACCTCCATTCTATAATCAGCTTGTGTTTTTAGTCCTGCCACCTATATATGTGGATGTGTTCCTGGCTGGCTATAAACAACTTGAAAAACTGTCTGGAAAGGGAAACAAGACATTTGTAATAAAAACTTGACTCATAAGGCATCAGGGAAGTGGCATGTGAGAAGGGTAAACAAGAGGGCTTCGTAGAGCGGGGACCACTGATGTCCACGGCTGCCCCAGACGTTGATCAGCCAAGTAAAAGGCAAGCAGTGAGCACCCATCCTCCCCAGTCCAGTGATCACTCAGTCCCCTGCAGTGTGGTGTCCGGCTTACTGGGAGGGTCAGGAAGGTCCCTCCCTGCCCCCTCTCTGATCTCAGGCAGGTAATGCACGCTGCAGTGATGTGACTGGGAGACCTGGGTTCAGGACATCCCTGTGCCATTTGTTGTCTGTGGGCTTTGTCAGGTCACTTGTCAAACTTGCCATCCTGTCACCTGTAAAAGGGAAATAATAGGGTTGTTGGTGTAGATGAAATGAGGCAGCGTACAAGGCCTAGTAAGTGTCAGTTTCCTCTCTCCCACGGAGGCACAACTGTCCGACTTACACACCCGCTCCCCAAGAGGCAGCATTCACTATGTACCCCACCTCCATGTCCCTCCCAAAATTCACAGTCTGATAGAACACACTGCAACTACGAATGGTTTCTGAATTTTCTAGTGTGTGTGCATCAGCGCCCAAGTACCCTTGTCACGTGGACCCAATGCCCTCGGTTACTTTCGCTGACAAGCTTCGTCCAGTAAATTCCTGGTGTTTCCGGATTTTGCCTTCCCAGGGTGATAATTCCTAACGTGGAAAGGCTTGTTCTCTTGAGGTACTTCCTGGGGGTGTGGAGGACAGAAAATTTGAGGGGTAGGTGTGTCAGAAAGGTGAGTCTGTTCTAAGAGAAGAGCTGTGACCCCCAGCATGTGTGCCGAAGGGCTAGTGAGCCTCCAAGGACTTGGTTTGCTTCTGTAGGAAGCGGTGGAGCAATTTTTTCCCCAAATTTGAATTCTGGGTCCAGCCGTGTTTATTCTGGAAGGTTCCCCAGACAGTGAGTTCTGGAGTAGAAGTCAGGCACAGACTGTGCTGTGTCCTCGTTCCACCTTGGAGGAGTGTGCTTGCCTGTAGTGTCAGGACCTCGTGTCTTCTTCAGAAGACGAAGGGGAATTAACTTCCACTACAGACCACAAGCTGCTCGCTCACGGCCAAGTCACCTTGTTTTGTTTCCGTGCAAAGGGGATTCGGCAGGGGTTTTGTTTGTTTGTTTGTTAGTTCTCAAGCTTTAAGACTTTGGAGATTTCGGGCCGGCCGAGTGGCGCGATGGTTGAGAACTCGCTTGGGATGCCAGAGGGCCCCGGTTCGGATCCCACATGTGAGGGCCAGTGATACTGCCCTCCACAGCTAAGATGCTGAACAACAGCTCAACCTGGAGCTGGGCTGCCATGAGTCGCCGGTGACGGCGTGGGCTGCAGCCTCTGTGGCAGTGGGTTGCCATGGGCTACCGTGTGTGG